GTTCACATAGACAGCCCTGGTTCAACTAAGTGGCTCCCAAAACGAAACAATTAGACATGAATGTGGGAGAGGACCTCGAGGGAAGGAGGGAAGACAGAAGTGAGAAGGAGACAGGAGAGTACTGGGTCAGGTCAGCCAGAAGGCATTACATGCATCTATGAACTCGCCAAAGAACAATTTTAATAGGAGGTTTTTTGGCTTTTGGCTTTGTTTGTTTTTTGTTTTGTTTTGTTTTCCAGACAGGGTTTCTGTCTTGTTTTCTAGGCTGTCCCATAACCCATTCTGTTTAGCAGGCTGACCTCGAACTTACAGAGATCTGCCTGCCTATGCCTCCTGAGTGCTGGGATTAAAATCGTGTACTACCACTGCCCAACCAATAGGAGTTTTTTTTAAAGAAGAAATTAGATACAGAATTCTGTTACATTGTGTGGGCCAAGTTTATATAAAGTATGAAATGAAGCTCGTGCGTAATTTCAGCTCACAGCACAATTCTTTCAATGAAAATAAAAGTAGTCACATGACTGAACATCTAAAATATATCCAACAAAATGATTTCCCAATGAGATTGATCTTTGGGAGATAATCAGGGACCCGAGGACAGTCGCTACTCACCAGGGTCAATTAAGGCAAGGAACATGGACACATGATATCAAGAGACTAACAAGACAAAACTCTTGTGTCTGAAAGCCTAGCTTGGTCAGGAAAAGGGGACATGTTGAAGGAACAAGGAACAAAAAAAGAACAGTTGGCCGATATACTACAGAATCAGAAGTAAACGAGAGTGCCAGGAAGCTGTGTGTGCTGATTATCCACAGTGTGCTTTGCTGTGAGATGACTAATGATGCTGCCCTTTCCATCAATCCACAGAACAAGCCGTCAAGAGCAAAGCTGACTTCTCCAGACAGGACACCTGAGCCCTCCTTCACGGGTACTCACAGCTGCTTGTCCAAGGCTGAATCTTCAACCTCAGTGAAGTAAAGGCCTCGAGGAGTACATGGGACAGTGCATCACAGACCAGCATGGGGAGGGGCTCCACTCGTGTCCCAGGCATATGTCCCTGCCCTGGCCCCTGCTGGGCTGGAAGCCCCTTACCTCATTTCCAATTCTAAACAATACCCCACCCCACAGTGAAGGGACTATGACTGTTGTTTGAGCTTTACCTGGACACTTGGTGGAGTCCAATCTCTGGAGTGTGGATAATGGTCACTGGGTGAGACAAAGAGGCTCGTGTTTAAGGGGACAATGAGGGGACCCACAGGGCTCTTGTGCTTCTGCTCTGAATTTTTCTCTCTCAGAAGCGACTTGCCTCAGGCTTCCAAATGGAGTTTGGGGCAGGTTTCATGTCTCAGCTACACTAAACCCACATTGTGAGGATGATTCAGTGACAGATTCTGTACAAGGAGAGTGGTGTCTTTGGAAAGAAAGAAGGTGTGGGATAGCCGTGATGGCTGTCCTGCTCCCGGACCCCAGGAAGACCTGAGATACTGACACATGAGCGGAGGCCACTCGAAATGCCATACAACACTAACAGTGGGAGACATCTCGAGAGAACTCTTTCTGGGAGCTTTGTGTATTTTCATGATAAAAGCATCCCAAAGGTCTCTAGAAGATAGACCAGGTAGAGACCTCCAGTTTAGACTAGGTCTCTCTGAGTAATGTCTGGCTGTGGGTCTCTGCACCTGCTCCCTTCTATAGTCAGAGGAAGACTCTCTGGTGACAACTGGACAAGGGACTGATCCATTAGTATAGCAGAATATCATTAGGAATCATTTCATTTTTTTCCCCAGTCATGTTTATTACTTTTACCCTAGATCTCTGGGTTATCTAGTGTCTAGTTCCTGGCCATCCAGGCAGGGAAAGGCATGGGCTCCCTCTGATGGCATGGGTCTTAAGTTAAACTAGTAATTAATTGGCCACTACCACAACTTCTGTGCCAACATTTCCTTAGCTCATCTTGCAGGCATGGCAGATTTTAGGCAGAGGGTTTGTGTGCAGGTTTCTATTTCGATAGGCTGCAGAGTACCTTCTGGGGATAAAGACACTAGGATATAGGGGTGAAGTCTCCAAATCCACAGCATCTTGACCTCTCTGTGTACAATTAACGGTGTGGATGTTGTCCTAGGCAATGGGGCCTCATTGTCTGTTTTCAAAGAATGGTCTTCTGTCTTACGATCAGCCTGAGTTCTTTAGGGTTCTCCATGGGACCTCCTTGGCCAACAACTCAACCAAATGTCACCTCACTGGAAGCCTTACCTAGCTTCAAAGGTGAACATTTCAGTCCCCACATCATCCTTTAAGGAATCCTCAATAGGGTCATCCTGGTAGATCCCAGGAAGTTTCTACTACACTAAGTTATCATACCTCCCCAAGTGCCCCCCAATTCCCGCTGTCTCTACCTATACATACTCTCTTCCTCCATCCCTCCACTATGTGGTCACTCCTGTTCCTATCCCCTTCAATCCCTGGTCCACCCTCAGAATCTATTCTATTTCCCCTTCCCAGGGAGATACATGTTTCTACTTTATAACCCTCCTCCTTACCTAACCTCTCTGAGTCTGAATTGTAGCTTGATTATCATTTTGCTAAATGGCTAATATCCACTTATAAGTGAGTAGATACCATATTTGTCTTTCTGGGTCTAGTTTACCTCACTCACGGTGATTTATTTTTAGTTCTATCTTTTGCCTACAAACTTCACGATGTCATTTTTTTTAAAACAACTGAGTGTTATATACCACATTTTCTTTATCAATTCCTCAGTTGAGGGACATCTAGATTGTTTCCAGTTATTGGCTATCATGAATAAAGCCATAATGAGCCTACTTGGACAAGCGTTCTTGTGATAGGATGGAGAGTCCTTTGAGCATATGCTCAAGAGTGATATAGCTGGACCCTAAGGTAGATTGATTCCCAGTGTTCTGATGAACTACCATATTGATTTCCTTAGTGGCTGTATGATATGGATTCCCACCAGCTATGGGAGAGCATTACCCTAACTCCACATCCTCACCAACATGAGCTGTCACTTGTGTTAGTGTCTTAGCCATTTTGATGGGTATAAGATGGAGTCTCAAAGTAGTTTTGATTTCCATTTCCCTCATGGCTAAGATGTTGAACATTTCTATAAGTGTTTCTCAGCCATTTGAGATTCCTCTATTGAGAATTCTCTGTTAGAGGGGTCAAGACCAGGCTGGAGAAACCCACAGAAACGTTGACCTGAACAAGGGGGATCTCATGGACCCCAGGTAGATAGCTGAGAAACCAGTGTAGTATTGTTCTAGACCCTCTGAATGTGGATGTCAGTTTGGAGGTCTGGTTAATCTATGGGGCCTCTGGTAGTGAATCAGTATTAATCCCTAGTACATGAATGGACTTTGGGAGCCACTACACATAGAGGGATACTCTCTCAACCTAGACACATGGGAAGGGTCTAGGCCCTGCTCCAAATGATATAACAGACTTTGAAGATCCCCCATGAAAGCCTCACCCTCCCTGGGGAGCAGAAAGAGGATGGGATAAGGAGCTGTTGGGAGACAGGGGAGGAGGGGAGGAAGAGGGAACTGGGATTGACATGTAAAGCAAGCTTGTTTCTAATTTAAATAAAAAAGAAAAATAGATCTGTACCCCATTTTTAATTAAATTATTTGGTTTTTGAAATCTAATTTCTTGAGTTCCTTATATATTTTGGATATTATTCCTCTATTGGATGTGGAGTTGGTAAAAGTCTTTTCCCATTCTGTAACTGACTCTTGGTCTGATTGAAAGTGTCCTTTGCCTTACAGAAGCTTTTCAGTTTCCATAGGTCCCATTGTATTAGTTTGGTGGTATAGCCTGAGCTATCAGTGTTCTGTCAGGAAGTTGTGTCCTGTGCAAATGTGCTCAAGGCTATTCCCCACTTTCTCTTTTATCAGGTTCAATGTGTCTGCATTTGTGCTCATGTCTTTTATCCTCTCGGACTTGAGGTCTGTGGGGGGATAGATATGAATCTATTTATATTCTTCTACATGGAGACATTCAGTTTGACCAGGACCATTTGTTGAAGATTTTTTCTTTTTTCCAGTGTGTATTTCTGGCTTCTTTATAAAAATCAGGCGTTTGTAGGTGTGTGGGTTTACCTCTGGGTCTTCAGTTTGATTCCATTGACCCTCCTGTCTGCTTTTATGCCAATACCTTGAGTCTTTTACTACTATAGCTGTTTAATACAACTTGAACTCAGGGATGGGGATACCTCCAGCAGGTCTTTTATTGCTTAGGATTATTTTAGCTATCCTGGATTTATTGTTTCCTTATTTGAGGTTGAGAATTGTCCTTTCAAGGTTTGTGAAGAATTGTGTTGCGGGTTTGATGGGAATTGCATTGACTCTGTAGATTCTTTTTGATAGGATGGCCATTTTTACTGTTAAGCCTAAGAACTCCTGCTGACCCTTTGTGTTTTCTTTATGTGGCATAATTAGCAATGGCTCCCTTTTTGTTTCACACTTTCTTTCATCTTTTTCATGTTTTCAACATGAGTGTAGATGTGCATTTTTCTGGTGTGTTCACAGTTCTCCAGAGCTGTGTCTGTGCCATTGGCATGTTTTGTTTTTTTGTTTTTTTTTTTTTTGCTTTGTCCTATTCAGGGTTTCCTTCCTTAACTAATTTGGAGCCTATTTTGTTTTTGTTTCCAGGGCATTGAGGTCATTTCTTTCAGAGCTTCTTGAACTTTTGATGTAGTTATATGCCAGGGTTTAGATGAGTATTGGCAAGGTCCAAATGCATAGCTCTCATTATTCCAGGGCCAGTATTTGGAGGTTCTGTGCCCTGGAAAGTGTCATCCTGTTGTCCAGAATCACGTGTGCCTGTTGAGAAGGAGACAGCTCAAGTGCAATAATCAAAATCTCAAAAGTAAACTAAAACTTCACCAATTGTTTCCTGGGGAATGTGAAAGGTCACCTGAAGGAACAATGATGTTCCCATGAGGCTGTTCTCCTGGGCTCCAGCCCAACAGGATGGAGGGGGGTGAGGGGATCAACCCTCAGTGATGCAGAAGGAGGGCCTACACCAGGTCTTGTGAGCTGCCATGTGTTTGAAGGGCAGGACCAATAAGCCTCACCATGTATAAATATCCCTGGTCCCTAGGGGCTCTGGTAGACTCCATTGGCTCATCCTTTGCTAAGTCTGAAAACAAACTGAGCACCATGAAGCTGTTCCTGTGTCTTCTGTTGGTCATCCTGGCTATTCATTGCTATGAAGGTGAGTATCATTTAAGATGAGTCCAGCCACAGCTCCTGGTAAGTTTGCTTCTTTGAACAGTTGGTAAGTTTATGTGTGATAAGGTAAGTCAGGAGAAGTGATCTCAAATTTCTTCCAGCCTTTTTTTCTAGCCCTCATAAAAGCCCAGATACATTCAACTAATCTTTTCCTACTTAGGAAGCTGATGGGGGGGGGGGGGGGAGGGCAAGATGGCCATTATGAGTAAAGTTCAGGAGAGGGGTTTTGTTGTTTGTGTTACTTTTAAGTTTATTGTCTTTGTATCTGGGAAGGTGACTTGAGATTGCTCCGTTCCACAGTCAATGTTTCTCCACTCTGTGAGTGATACACCTCAAATCCCTCCACTAGACTCTGAGGAGAAGTAGGCTCATGTAGCCTCATCACTTTTCTGGGGCTCTACCAATAACAGGGATGGAAACAGTGCAGTCATTACCACTAAGATGTCCACTTTCCTAAAATTTACTAATTTTTTGAAAGCAATCCGTTTGTGTGTGAACAGAACATTCCTACATGCTCAGTACCTTTAAAATGAACCAAGTTCCATGGGCAGTTACTCTCTTTCCTTTCTGCATCTCCCTCTGTCTACCTAACTGCCCCACATGCGATAGTCTACAATGTGTCCCTACAGCCCCAATGAACCTGCTTTAGGTCCACATCAGATGCTGTTTGGCTGCCTCCTAAGGACAGTATTGTCATGCCCTTGGGAACACTGGGACTGGTGGTCCATCCCTGATATCCAAGCTAGGTAAATCTGAAACATGAGGAACTTTGGTCTGGGGCAAGCTCAGACCACCTCTGGAGTTAGGGAGGGGTGTTTTGTTTATTTTGTTTTGTAAAAGGGTCTTGAAGGGAATGTGGAACCTAGATTAGGAGAAATGATTTCCTCAGTTCTGCTGAAACATTCATCTAAACCTTTAGAAACCATAGGTTGGTGTCAGCTTCCCCTGTCAACCTCCCTAGAAGTAAGTCTGAGCATCAGTGTGGAAAGGCAAAGCTTGTCACAGTTTCCCAGATATGCTCTGGTGTGTGTCAAACTGATCAACTCAGTTGGGCAGTGGTGGCACATGCCTTTAATCCCAGCGCTCAGGAGGAAGAAGCAGGCAGGTCTCTGAGTTTGGGGCCAGCCTGCTCTGCAGATCAAGTTCCAAGACAGCAGAGCTACAAAGAGAACCTTGTCTCAAAATTAAAAAATAAAACCCTTGTAACTTTAGCTTAACTTCTGACCTTGGACTGTACTTGATGCAATGACCTAATTCCATCAATTTCAAAATGTCGACTTTCTATACATAAGCAGTCGGCTTGGTTTTTACTTTTGCATCTCTCGTACAATTCTAACTCTTCTATTCATGTCAAAGATGGATAACACAGAACTTCATTTTTTCAGCTATCAAAGACTCATGCAAATGCTACAGAAGATGCAGTCAAACCTCCAACTATTAGAGAGTCAGTAACAATCTTTCTTCAGTCCCTTGCTGTGTGACCTTGAGGAAGTCACCCTGTCCTGCTTCAGTCACAGGAGTGAACTATGATACTGGTTATCCTGTCCAGTCTGCAGCCTTAAGTCAGAGAGACTCAAGCAAAACAATCAATTAAACACGAAAAGTAATTTTGACTAACTGAGTTCTTTCTCCTTACACTTTCCAGCTAATGCTGCAAGAGTCTGTCCATCAGTTGTTGCTGTAAACAATGCTTTCCTATTTACTAACCAGAAAGAATTTCAGTCACATATTAAGAAATTTAACGCGCCTGCAGAGGCTGTTGAAGCAAAAATGGAAGTGAAGAAATGTGTAGACAGCAGTATGAACGATGCACAGAAAGCAGAAATGGAAAAAATAATGGTATGTTCATTTTTCTTTACACACACAGAGAGCTACAAATGAAGTTGACCTGACATTCTGTGGGGAACACATAGATGGGGCGAGGCACTAGAATTATAGGTCACCAATGGTAGGTAGGTTCAAGAATACACTGCTAATTTGAATTCAGTAATAACTGTGTCTGGAATAGGTGCCTCCTTCTATAGGTCCACCCTAGACGCCACACTCTTGGGACACACTGAGAAGGACAAATGGTGCCCTACAAAGGGAGGATTCAGGGCTAACTCTATTCAATCTACTGGGAACAGTGCTGAAGTTGACTTCTACACAATGAATGGATATTATCTCTCTTGAATGCTGTGGGGAGTGATGGTGGTGAAAATCACAGACAGGAGGAAGGAAACTGGAGACAACCTCTTAAGAGCAAAATACTGACGGCATGCATTTCTCTGCCACCTTTGCTGGCCCTGCCAGGAGCCTGTGGACACCCTGTTTCCAATACTTCTTATTCACTTTTGCCCGGGGTGCCCCTGGTCATCCCATTGGAATGAAGGTAGAGCTCACAATTCTAAATCATCAGAGGAAGTTATACCTGAGGAACTGTGACATACTCTGGAACCCTCCTAGTCACAGAGACATAGGGACCTGAGTCACACTATTGAGTCCATTCAGAGTGTATTTTCCTGAATGTGGAAAGAATTTCCACTAATGTGCATCGTTTGATGTAATTCCCCACAGCAATTCAGTACTTCTGCCAAGCACACTTTGGGGCCCTTGCAGCAGTGTTCTCCCAAGGAGCACTAGTTTGCTAACTCTTCTTCTCTGGGAGTTTCCTGATTCTGCTCACCTTTCTTCTCTTGTTTCTGTTTATTTCCAGGCAGAAGTCGTTTCGTATTGTAAACAAAAGGAACAATGAAACATGGCTCTTCCTGGTCTCCATTGCTTCTCACAGATAAACTGACTTTCCTTGGCCAATGTGAAGGTTTCAACGTCTTGCACTAATAAATTACTCTCCTTGCATGTTATCACCTGTCTGTTGTTATCCTAAATCTTGGGTCTTGCACTGAATGGGTTTTGATTCAAAAAAAAGATTTCCAGTAATAAGTCACAGAGTTAATCTCTATCAATATGACTATCAAGTCTGGGGATCAAGCTTCAGGAACATTGGTGTTTGGGCAAGCATCATCTTGCACTGCTCTACAAGGAAGTTTCTCATTTCTGTAGCCATAAATGAAAATTATCACATATGAAAACAAACATTGGCCCCTCCTGTGGCCACTGTACTAAACTGTCTCATTGCTATCCATTACCACATGCCAGTCACTGCCTAAGTACTCCAACTCAGTATCTTCCCCATCCAACCCATGGCACTACTTATGGCAAGCTCCATATTCTGAAAGAAAAGCCTTGGTTGTCATAAGCTTCGTTAAAGTAGATCCACTGTGCTCTCCATTCCTTAAAGAAATGCAGCACAACATATGCAAGCTTGTGTCCTAATCATATCAATTTACAGTTTCCTTCCTTATGACTCTCTCAATATTTCCACATTTTCTTCCCCAGGAAAGCAGTCATGCTTTCATACCACATCAGAGCACAGAGAAAGACAAGAATGGATTTAGTGATGCCTACTGCCTACTGTTCTAAACTTGGTCCATATCCCAGAGTCTGATAGGTGCTTGCCCTAAAGGACAGGAAGAACACCCTTCAGAAAGTTCAGGTTACTAAAATACATACCTTGTATGACTGACCAAGTAAACAAAAGAAAGAAAGAACTCTTCTGAGAATGTTATACAATCAAGGGCAACGCTAAACAAAACAAAACAAAAAAAAAGCGTACACCACCATAAATGTTTAGGTAAAACTGATGTTCCAACTGCATTACATCTAATAGGAAAGAAACTGAGATAGAATGTTGTTGCATGTTTTTTTAATTCTTGGGCTCTTTTGGGGGGCTGCCACCCAGCTCCCAAATAAATCTCACAGTCTTATTATTACTTATAAATGCGTAGTCTACTCTTGGCTTGTTTCTAGTTAGGTTTTCTTAAATTAATCCCACCTACCTTTTGCCTCTGGGCTAATACCTTTCTCTGCCTTTTAAATATCTTACTTTTATTCTTACTCTATGACTGGCTGTGTGGCTGGCCCCTAACATCCTCCTGTCCTTGTTCCTTCTCCTCCTCCTTGATTTTTTATCCCCAAATTTCTCCTCCTATTTATTCTCTCTGCCTGCCACTTCCACCCATCCTTTGTCACCCCCCACTGGCTATTGGCCATTCAGCACTTTATTAGGCCAATCAGGTGTTTTAGACAGGCACAGTAACACAGTTTCTCAGAATTATACAAATGCAACAAAAAAGAATGCAACACATCTTTTATACAGTTAAACAAGTGCTCCACAGCATAAACAAGTGTAACTCATCTTTAACTAATATCATACCACAATGGAATGCCTAGCTGAAAAAGAATGGCAGTCATTAAAACCATGTGTGCAACACAGAGGTCAAAATTTAAAGAAACAGTAGAAAAATAGAATTGAAAAAAACAGAAGGAAAAATTTCCAGAATTAAACCATATGAAACTGAAAAAGCCACAGAAACCCGTTCCTTCCTCACACTTATATTTGGGTGACATAGAGAATTTCAATGAAAAAAATCTTCTTCCACAAAAAAAAGCAAAAAGAAAAACACTAAACTGTCTCAAAGTAGTGAGAGTGAAAGTGAAACCTAACAGAAAAACTTGGAAGTGATGTGGCAGACAAAAGGTTGCTTCCTTGCAACCCTGGGAAAGAGAGAGAGGTGGTGATATTTTGTTTGTGATCTGCAAATAAACTTACCTGAAGATCAGAGTGTGGAGCTAAGCCACTAGTTAGCCATATAGGGCAGGCAGTGGTGGCTCCCACCTTTGATCCCAGCACTTGGAAGGTGGAGCAGGAGGGAGCCATGAATGGGCTACAAGAAACCCTGTCCCAAAACACACAATCATCATAGCACATGATCTGGATCTGTAATGAGTATATTTTACATCAAAACCAATTCTGGGGCTAGGGAGACATCTCAGTCAGTAGAGTGTCTGCTGCACATGCCGGGACAGGACTAATTTTGGATCCCCAGCAGCCACATGAAGCTACTTGTGATGATGGAAAAACTTGTAACCCAGCACTAGTGAAACAGAGACAGGCAGAACCCCAGAGCTACCTGGCCAGCCAACCTAAGCCATTGGTGAACACCAAGTTCCTTGAGAGATGAATGAACAGTTAAGTGCACTTGCTGCTCTTACAAAGGACCTGATTTCATTTCCTAGCACTCATGTTGGATGTCCCACAGCTACCTGTAATTGCAGCTCCAGCCTCATTTTCTGGTCTCCTACACACACACACTCACACACACACACACACACACACACACACACACACACACACACACACATCTTAGGGAAGAAACTAAAACTAGATCTACCGTATGACCCAACTATACTTTATTATTATCACTTGTTTTGGTGTTGGGTGTTGAGTTTACAGCCTCAACACTGTATCTGCAGCCCCAGCTAACCAAATTCTGAATATATTTCAAAAGAAAAAAAATGAAATCGACATACTAATGAGATACCAGCACATAAATATTTGTTGTAGCACTATTTACAACAGCAAAGATATGTAGCTATTAACATAGGTAAGGTATATAGGGTAAGTGACTATCAATGGATGAATGAATAAATGTGCCATATAAACATGTGGGACATTATTTGACCATAAAGAAGGGTGATATCATGCCCTTTATGGGAAAACGAGTGGTACTAGAGGACATTGTGTTAAGTGAAATAACCCAAACATAGAAAGAAAAAAAAGTACTTCAAGTTCTCTATCACACTAGGAAGCTGAAAGGAAAAAGGGTGGAGTGAATGCAAATGTAACTAGACATGGGAATGGCGAGAGGGTGGACGGGGAAGACTGAATTTGATCATTGTGTCACCATCCTGAGCCACCAAATTGCTGATGATCTATTGTTCTATCATCAAGTGGCCCTTGCTTGCAAAGACTAAAGCCTGGATGGTGATAGCCACATGCCTTCGGTTAGCAAAGTATCGCATACTGTCAGCAAGCTAAAAGGACAGACCCCAGGATGCCTCTGTTTGGTCCCAGTGTCATGTCAACACTGCAGGTGATCTTGGAATCCTTCTAATTTCATAATAAAAGCATAACCACCAGTGCTATGAACCCATGCATCTGTGTCCAAATGAGTCCTTCCCAAGACTCTCATCTGCACCTGTCATGAGTTTGAAGGCTCTCCAACTCAGTACTCTAGACAGCTTTGGCAGTAGGCAGAATATCAAATGCCCCATGAACAGAGAAAAAGTGCTCAGAGTCTAAAGGTACCTTCTCTCCAGGCAGGTCTAGGGTTTGGACTCTTAGCGCTGGTTTATAAGGGGTACAGTATGCATGCTGTGATGTGTGCCACTATGCCTGGCTATTTTATGTTGTCTTATTTTTTTTCTTTTTTCAGAGCTGAGGATTAAACCCAGGGCCTTGTACTTGCTAGGCAAGTACTCTGGCACTAAGATAAATCCTCAACTCCTTTTAAAAACTTTAAAATTTTCCCTGTGGAGTGTTTACACTCTGTAAGCCCCAGCTTTGCCAGGACCATACCAGGAGCATGGATTCCTAGCATGGCCATAGAAACCCAGTGTTCACTCTCTGCTATGGCCACACGTCATACTCACCCACCAGCTCAAATATCCAAATTACCTCAGTTTCATTCGTTCTAAGAGCCATTGCCCCAGATGTCTGGGAGTTAGTGGGGAGAGGTGTTTGCCTGCTTATTCCTTTTATTTGAGAGTTCTGAACTGTATGTTCTTTAACCAGCAAACATTCATTGAAATCTTGAGAGCTGAGCACTGTGCTCAGTTTAATGGTAGCATCAACACAAGATTGCATCTCTTGTCTCAGAGGGGGAAAAGAAATAGTGACAGGGCCCAGGAATATAGATTTAGGCTACCCCAAATTCCATATTCCAACATGGAAACAGTTCCATGACTTTGTAGTAACAAAACAAGGAAAGGCACAATCACACTTTTCCGATACCTTAGTGGGTGCATCAGGTAGGCCATTTACAAGAAAGCAGGGTCTATCTACTATGGGTCTCAGATACTAACCGATGACATTCTTAGCTTTGGGCTGCAGGAGCCAGGGGTCCATTTGTATATTCCAAAACTTCTTACCTAATAGTCACAGGGTGTTAGGCTAGATCCAAGGTGGCAGTGAGTGGATAGCAAAGGAACTAAAGGCAGGCCAAGATAATCTGTAATAACATCCCAACTCCTCCACAGTCACTGAAATTCTGATGAGCCTTTGAAAATGCATGACTTCTTCATAAAAAACTTTTGGCTTGCCAAAAGCAATGCACAGATTCAATGCAATCCCCATTAAAATACCAGCACAATTTCTCACAGACCTTGAAGAACAATAATCAATTTTGTATGGAAAAACAAAAGACCCAGGATAGCCAAAACAACCCTGTTCAACAAAGCAACATCCAGAGGCATCACCATCCCTGACTTCAAGTTCTATTATAGAGCTATAGTCTGGAAAACAGCTTGGTATTGGCACAAAAATAGACAGGTAGACCAATGGAACCGAATTGGAAACCCAGATTTTAACCCACACACCTATGAACACTTGATTTTTGACAAAGAAGCTAAAAATATGCAATGGAAAAAAGAAAGCATCTTCAACAAATGGTCCTGGCATAACTGAATGCTGGCATGTAGAAGAATGCAGTGAGATCAATAATTTATAATCGGGACCTCCTGAAACTGAGAAGCTTCTGCAAGGCAAAGGACACAGTCAGCAAGACAAAAGGGCAGCCCACAGAATGGGAAAAATATTCACTAACCCCACATCTGACAGGGGGCTGATCTCCAAAATTTACAAAGAACTCAAGAAGCAAGTCTCCAAAACACCAAAGGATCCAATTAAAAAGTGGGCTACAGAAACAAATAGAGAATTTTCAATAGAGGAGTCTAAAATGGC